GGGGGGGGGGCAAAAGCTGCGTACCTGTAAGATGAGTAACGAGGTTACTGTGAGACCTGATATCTCACAGATTAGGGTTTTTTAGTTTGTGGACCGGTTTGGTTGGTTCGGTGTTCGGGCTTCTTCTTTGAATTGGATAGGACTCGGATACTATAAAGAGAATGTACTAAAGAGGATATTTTATGAGTTGGAATTCAAACTCGTGATACTATTATGTATTACAAAAAAATTATGCAATTGATATTTATACTAAATTGATAAGCTTAATTATAGTGTTGTAAATTAAAGTTAGAATACAAATTATTTAATTATAATTAAGTCATTGCTTCATCTTACCGAGTACATAACACATGATAGGAAGTTGTGGAGGTCGAGAATTAGAGTTGTAGGTTGACAGTAGTGTGTTCCTCCTAGGACATTTAATAGAACTAGGAATATTTTTGCAATTTCCTATTTACTTTATTACGCATGTTGCGCCATTCGCACTCGTTACTGTTTGACCAAAAAGTATTAGGCTTTTTTGTTAAACTAATTAAATAAGAAGATAGAGGGTAAATCCTAGTTAATGATAATTAATTCTAGGTCTAAGATGGATAACATGAATAGAAAAATATAATTGAGTACAAATGTTGGCAGTAGTTATGGTCGGATCTAATAGTATGGAAAAGACCATGCATTAAACAACATTAAATGGCAATAAAATATAAATAAAAGGAGAAGATTCACCCAATCTTGAGTGAGGTGATCCTCGTTCATTTGATAAAGATGAATGATAGACAAATAAAAGAATCTTAGGACCCTTTTCGGATCTAATGGGGAGTGTGGGATAACAGATCATCTAATCTCTTTAGAAAGATGTGTTTTCTATCTTTTCTAGAGATAGAGTGTGTTTTATCATCTATGGGGAGTGTGTTTTCTTAGAGAAGTTCCCCCTTCATTTGTTTCCTCTCTCTTCCTATTTATAAGGGATATCTCTAGAAACACCTAAAAAGTACAATTAGAGCGAATATTCAGTGAAATATTCCCTTTGAAGATTCCAAAGCAAAACTAGTTGTTACTTCTATTTGTACTGCTCGACCTCGGCCTTATTGATGATCGCTGCTCGACCTCGGCCTTTGATCACTGCTTGACCTCGGCCTTATTGATCACTGCTCGACCTCGGCCAGATAGCTCAATTTGATTCGCAGGTTACTCATGACAATTGTCTCCGCATGTCGAATTTCTCTTATTTGATTTTGACTCATATAGTTAGTCCCTCCGCTTATCGAGGTTGTCGTTTGGTAGAGCTCGATGAGCGGACTTTATTAATTGTAGTTCGAGAAATTCGGATGGGAAGGTCGAGTAGTGAGGATTGCGGCTGAAGGTGTCGATCTTCAGGTCCAAGTGGTATCTGTGCGGGCTGAATTTGAGTAGAGTTCGACCAGGGCCAATGACTCGAGTGATGAGTTGATCGAGAAGACAGTAAAGTTGGAAAAAGCTAATGAGGCTAGGATGGCAGCTTTGGAAAGGAGGGTGACATCGGAGGAGGTCATCCGCGTCCTCAGATCTGGACGGGTGATTCGGCCCTTATAAGATGCCTTATCAGGTACCTCATTTGATTTGGAATGCTACTTTTGTTGCTTATTTCTGATTCTATTTTTCGAACGAGGTCGAATATTGATTCGAGCGGGGTCGAATGTTGATTCGAACAGGGTCGAATGCAAATTCAAGCGAGGTTGAATGCAAATTCGAGAGGGGTCGAAGGCAAATTCGAGCGGGGTCAAATGCAAATTCGAGCGGGGTCGAATGCTGATTCGAGCGGGGTCGAATGCTGATTCGAGCGGGGTCGAATGCTGATTCGAGCGGGGCCGAATGCTGATTCGAGCGGGGCCGAATGCTGATTCGAGCGGGGCCGAATGCTGATTCCAGCGGGGCCGAATGCTGATTCCAGCGGGGCCGAATGCTGATTCCAGCGGGGCCGAATGCTGATTCCAGCGGGGCCGAATGCTGATTCCAGCGGGGCCGAATGCTGATTCCAGCGGGGCCGAATGCTGATTCCAGCGGGGCCGAATGCTGATTCCAGCGGGGCCGAATGCTGATTCCAGCGGGGCCGAATGCTGATTCCAGCGGGGCCGAATGCTGATTCCAGCGGGGCCGAATGCTGATTCCAGCGGGGCCGAATGCTGATTCCAGCGGGGCCGAATGCTGATTCCAGCGGGGCCGAATGCTGATTCCAGCGGGGCCGAATGCTGATTCCAGCGGGGCCGAATGCTGATTCCAGCGGGGCCGAATGCTGATTCCAGCGGGGCCGAATGCTGATTCCAGCGGGGCCGAATGCTGATTCCAGCGGGGCCGAATGCTGATTCCAGCGGGGCCGAATGCTGATTCCAGCGGGGCCGAATGCTGATTCCAGCGGGGCCGAATGCTGATTCCAGCGGGGCCGAATGCTGATTCCAGCGGGGTCGAATGCTGATTCCAGCGGGGTCGAATGCTGATTCCAGCGGGGTCGAATGCTGATTCCAGCGGGGTCGAATGCTGATTCCAGTGGGGTCGAATGCTGATTCCAGCGGGGTTGAATGCTGATTCCAGCGGGGTCGAATGTAGATTCGAGCGGGGTCAAATGTTGATTCAAGCCAGGTCAAATATTAATTCGTTTAATTGATGCAGCGTCACTTTGCCAAAATATGGGTGAGCTTCATGCACTCATGCTTTGCCTACATATATCAGAGAGATTTACATGTTTTCTAGGCTGGCAATTTTGTCCCAATCTATATGGTCTCTTGGCATCTTGGGATTTACTTTGACGACGATCGTTCCATGTTCGCGTAACGGGGGGAATCTTCATGTTTCTATTTTAATTAGAGAAATAGTTAGTTAAAATCAAATGAGATCGTTCGTTACCTCGATTTGATCGGTCGACGAGTGGAGGGGAGTAACCATGTTCCCTTCCCCAGTTATGCTTATAGTGACCGCTACCAATTTGGCAATGTCGTCTGCTTTGATATTCTGTGCTCAAGGGATTTGGTCGAGCTGGCATTCATCGAACTCGGGTAACAGCTTGCAGATCTCGGCATGGTATTTTTGCAGTCTTTGTTCCTTGATTTGGAAAGTCCCTGTAACTTGATTGACAACGAGCTGAGAGTCGCACCGTAGGACGACTCGTTCTACTCTGTGCTCGAGTGCTAGCTTTAGACCTGCAATTACGGCCTCGTGCTCGACTTCGTTGTTAGTCATATTTGGGCATCTTATGGACTGGCAAATTACTTCGCCTGTTGGGACCTCGAGTTTCAGTCCTTATCCCGATCCCGACGCGTTTGTAACCCAATCTTGTGATGCTACACCCTGAATCAAGAAAATCTCATTAGAAAAAATTTATGCAATTGATATTTATACTAAATTGATAAGCTTAATTATAGTGTTATTATAAATTAAAGTTAGAATACAAATTATTTGATTATAATTAAGTCATTATTTCAGCTTATCGAGAACATCACCCATGATAGGAAGGTGTGGAAGTCGAGAATTAGAGTTGTAGGTTGATATACAATAGTGTGTTCCTCCTAGGACATTCAATAGAACTAGGAATATTTTTTGTAATGAGTGAGACGGATCATCTTTCATTTGATAAAGATAAATGATAGACAAATACAAGAATCTTAGGACCTTTTTCAGATCTAATGGGGAGTGTGGGATAACAGATAATCTAATATCTCTAGAAAGATGTGTTTTTTATCTTTTCTAGAGATAGAGGGTGTGCTTTTTTAGAGAAGTTCCCCCTCTCTTTGTTTCCTCTCTCTTCCTATTTATAAGGGATATCCCTAGAAAACCCTAAAAAAGTACAATTCTATCTGTACTGCTCGACCTCGGCCTTGTTGATGATTACTGTTCGACCTCGACCTTATTGATCATTGCTCAACCTCGGCCTTTTTGATCACTGCTCGACCTCGGCCTTATTGATCACTGTTCAACCACGGCCAGACATCACAATTCGATTCGCAGGTTACTCATGACAATTATCTCCCTATATCGAATTTCTTTAATTTGATTTTGACCCATACAGTTATTCCTTCCGCTTATTGAGGTCGTCGTTTGGTCAAGCTCGGTGAGCGGACTTCATTAATAGTAGTTCAAGAAATTAGGATGGGGAGGTCAAGTAGTGAGGATCGCGGCTGAGGGTGTTGATCTTCAGGTCCAAGTGGTATCCCTACGGGCTGAATTTGAGCAGAGTTCGACCATGGCCAATGACTCGAGTGATGAGTTGATCGAGAAGACGGTAGAGTTGGAGAAGGCTAACGGGGCTAGGATGGCAGCTTTGGAAAAGAGGGCAACATCGGAGGAGGTCATCTGTGTCTTCAGATCTAGACAGGCGATTCGACCTTTATAAGATGCCTTATCAGGTACCTCCTTTGATTTGGAATGCTACTTTTGCTACTTATTTTTGATTTTATTTTTCGAGCGAGGTCGAATGCTGAATCGAGCGAGGTCGAATGCTGATTCGAGCGGGGTCGAATGCAAATTCGAGCAAAGTCAAATGTTGATTCGAGCGGGGTCGAATGCAGATTCGAGCGGGGTCGAATGCAGATTCGAGCGGGGTCGAATGCAGATTCGAGCGGGGTCGAATGCTGATTCGAGCGAGGTCGAATGCTGATTCGAGCGGGGTCGAATGTTGATTTGAGCTGGTCGAATGTTAATTCGTTTAATTGATGTAGCGTCGCTTTGGCCAAAATACGGGTGAGCTTCATGCACTAATGCTTTACCTACATATATCGGAGAGATTTACATGTTTTCTGGGCTGGCAATCCAGTCCTAGTCTATATGGTCTCTTGGCATCTTGGGATTTACTTTGACGACGATCGTTCCCTGTTCGCGTATCGGGGAGAATGCTACTGTTTCTATTCCACTTAGAGAAATAGTTAGTTAAAACCAAATAAGATCGTTCGTTACCTCGATTTGATTGGTTGACGAGTGGAGGGGAGTGACCACGTTCCCTTCTCCGGTTATGCTTTTAGTGGCCGCTACCAATTTGGCAAGGTCGTCCGCTTTGATATTCTGTGCTCGAGGGATTTGGTCGAGCTGGCATTCATCGAACTCGGGTAACAGCTTCCAGATCTCGGCATGGTATTTTTGTTGTCTTTGTTCCT